TCTAATTTTTTTTTTATTATTATTTGCGGCATTTCTAGTGTGCTCACCTTGGTCTCTCCTTTTCCCTTGTTGACCCCGTGGGGGGTAGGGAAATGCTGCCGAAAATTAAAAAAAAAAAAATATTGTTTTCCCTTCACATCTTTTTACTTATTTTTTTACTTATTTTATTATTTATTTATTTATTATTTATTCTCTAATTTTTTTTTTATTATTATTTGCGGCATTTCTAGTGTGCTCACCTTGGTCTCTCCTTTTCCCTTGTTGACCCCGTGGGGGGTAGGGAAATGCTGCCGAAAATTAAAAAAAAAAAAATATTGTTTTCCCTTCACATCTTTTTACTTATTTTTTTACTTATTTTATTATTTATTTATTTATTATTTATTCTCTAATTTTTTTTTTATTATTATTTGCGGCATTTCTAGTGTGCTCACCTTGGTCTCTCCTTTTCCCTTGTTGACCCCGTGGGGGGTAGGGAAATGCTGCCGAAAATTAAAAAAAAAAAAATATTGTTTTCCCTTCACATCTTTTTACTTATTTTTTTACTTATTTTATTATTTATTTATTTATTATTTATTCTCTAATTTTTTTTTTATTATTATTTGCGGCATTTCTAGTGTGCTCACCTTGGTCTCTCCTTTTCCCTTGTTGACCCCGTGGGGGGTAGGGAAATGCTGCCGAAAATTAAAAAAAAAAAAATATTGTTTTCCCTTCACATCTTTTTACTTATTTTTTTACTTATTTTATTATTTATTTATTTATTATTTATTCTCTAATTTTTTTTTTATTATTATTTGCGGCATTTCTAGTGTGCTCACCTTGGTCTCTCCTTTTCCCTTGTTGACCCCGTGGGGGGTAGGGAAATGCTGCCGAAAATTAAAAAAAAAAAAATATTGTTTTCCCTTCACATCTTTTTACTTATTTTTTTACTTATTTTATTATTTATTTATTTATTATTTATTCTCTAATTTTTTTTTTATTATTATTTGCGGCATTTCTAGTGTGCTCACCTTGGTCTCTCCTTTTCCCTTGTTGACCCCGTGGGGGGTAGGGAAATGCTGCCGAAAATTAAAAAAAAAAAAATATTGTTTTCCCTTCACATCTTTTTACTTATTTTTTTACTTATTTTATTATTTATTTATTTATTATTTATTCTCTAATTTTTTTTTTATTATTATTTGCGGCATTTCTAGTGTGCTCACCTTGGTCTCTCCTTTTCCCTTGTTGACCCCGTGGGGGGTAGGGAAATGCTGCCGAAAATTAAAAAAAAAAAAATATTGTTTTCCCTTCACATCTTTTTACTTATTTTTTTACTTATTTTATTATTTATTTATTTATTATTTATTCTCTAATTTTTTTTTTATTATTATTTGCGGCATTTCTAGTGTGCTCACCTTGGTCTCTCCTTTTCCCTTGTTGACCCCGTGGGGGGTAGGGAAATGCTGCCGAAAATTAAAAAAAAAAAAATATTGTTTTCCCTTCACATCTTTTTACTTATTTTTTTACTTATTTTATTATTTATTTATTTATTATTTATTCTCTAATTTTTTTTTTATTATTATTTGCGGCATTTCTAGTGTGCTCACCTTGGTCTCTCCTTTTCCCTTGTTGACCCCGTGGGGGGTAGGGAAATGCTGCCGAAAATTAAAAAAAAAAAAATATTGTTTTCCCTTCACATCTTTTTACTTATTTTTTTACTTATTTTATTATTTATTTATTTATTATTTATTCTCTAATTTTTTTTTTATTATTATTTGCGGCATTTCTAGTGTGCTCACCTTGGTCTCTCCTTTTCCCTTGTTGACCCCGTGGGGGGTAGGGAAATGCTGCCGAAAATTAAAAAAAAAAAAATATTGTTTTCCCTTCACATCTTTTTACTTATTTTTTTACTTATTTTATTATTTATTTATTTATTATTTATTCTCTAATTTTTTTTTTATTATTATTTGCGGCATTTCTAGTGTGCTCACCTTGGTCTCTCCTTTTCCCTTGTTGACCCCGTGGGGGGTAGGGAAATGCTGCCGAAAATTAAAAAAAAAAAAATATTGTTTTCCCTTCACATCTTTTTACTTATTTTTTTACTTATTTTATTATTTATTTATTTATTATTTATTCTCTAATTTTTTTTTTATTATTATTTGCGGCATTTCTAGTGTGCTCACCTTGGTCTCTCCTTTTCCCTTGTTGACCCCGTGGGGGGTAGGGAAATGCTGCCGAAAATTAAAAAAAAAAAAATATTGTTTTCCCTTCACATCTTTTTACTTATTTTTTTACTTATTTTATTATTTATTTATTTATTATTTATTCTCTAATTTTTTTTTTATTATTATTTGCGGCATTTCTAGTGTGCTCACCTTGGTCTCTCCTTTTCCCTTGTTGACCCCGTGGGGGGTAGGGAAATGCTGCCGAAAATTAAAAAAAAAAAAATATTGTTTTCCCTTCACATCTTTTTACTTATTTTTTTACTTATTTTATTATTTATTTATTTATTATTTATTCTCTAATTTTTTTTTTATTATTATTTGCGGCATTTCTAGTGTGCTCACCTTGGTCTCTCCTTTTCCCTTGTTGACCCCGTGGGGGGTAGGGAAATGCTGCCGAAAATTAAAAAAAAAAAAATATTGTTTTCCCTTCACATCTTTTTACTTATTTTTTTACTTATTTTATTATTTATTTATTTATTATTTTATTTTTATTTTCTCACGAAATCTCGCTGTTTATTTATTTTTCTCCCGCCTTCCCCCCCCTATGCTTGCCATTTTACTTTCTTGATTAGGTCACCGGTACCCTACCCTAACCACTTAAACTTCGGTTAGGGTTTTCTAGGGGTTTTGTAGGGTTTAGGGTTCTTCAAAACCCCCCTACTTCCCCGTCCTCTTCGGGCACCCTGGACCCGAACCACCCCTCCCCCTTTGACGGCGCCCGTGCTAGCCTTGCTAGCGTCGTTCGTCGCTTTCTACCGCGGACTTCCCCCTACGCCCTCCGCTCACGCGGACCTCTTCTGGCTCCCTCCAGTCTGGTCCGTCATCTCCCAATGGCCGACGGTGTGTCACACGCTGCCGACACGGCGATGACCACGGCATCGGGCTCCACACCCGTGCCGGCGGACCAAGGTCATTAGCCCCGGGGGGATCTTCACACCCTCCTCACCTCCCTCCTTGCGCCCATCCAGGCGCAACTTGCGACCTTTGCGCCCATCCAGGTGCAACTCGCGACCCTCGCACCCTTACAGGCGCAGGTGGCGACCCTTGCCGCCGGCGTGCGGCAAATCCAGGACGCTGGTCGTCCTTCCTCTCCTCACCCTATCTATTCTTCTGGCTCCCAGTTCGGGTCCCCCGTCCTCCAACAGGGTGGCCACGGTGGAGCTTCCTCCTCCACTGCCCCCGACCCGGCCATCTTGGTGACCGTCCACGCCCCTAGCACGACGGCCGCTACGAGTCAGGTCCTCCCTCAGTCTACGGGCGCACCCGCCCAGACCTCGGTCACTACGGCCACGGTACCACAACCCGCTACCATGGTCGCAGCTTTTCCGGGTGCCCCACTTCTCCTTCCTCTTCGCACGACTGCAGCGCCACCTGGCTCTACCCCTTGTGGGATGCCTCGCGCCGCTCGTGCGTCTCCCCCTGCCACACCTCGCTCGACCTACGTTCGAGGTCTCGAGGACGAGATCGCCCAGCTCCGGACCGACCTCGCCTTCTCACGCCTTCAGCCACCCCCACCCTCACAGGTGGCCGCGCCTTCCGGCGCACCCCCTTCTTTCTCTATTCTTCCTTCAATGCAGGCTCGCTTCCCTCGCCCTGCACCCTACCCATCCCCATCCTACCTCCTCCCCATCCCCTCGGTTGCTGCGACCTCTTCTACCGCAGCTCTCGTGCAGCCTGCCGCTGTTTCCCCCGCCGCTCCACCATGCGGCCCGGGCGTACAATCAGCTGCGCCGACTTATTCCCCCGTAGCGCAGTCTCCTGCTTCCCGTTCCCCTCGCCGCCAAAACGGTGGCGCACCACTCATCCGCTTGTCAGACATTGCCTTGTATGACGGTACAGGCATACGCGTGTCTAGGTGGCTGCAGTCTGCCACCCGCACGCTCCAGCTCATGGGCGCCACACCTGACACGTGGGTTCATGGATTTTCAGGCATTCCTCAAGGATCGCTTCGGAGCCCGGTACGACGTGACTGACGCCTTCGAGCGTGTCGTCACTACACGCTGGTCCGGCTCTGGTGGCGCTGCCGCTCTGGATYGCCACATCCAGGTCTTTCAGGACGCCCGCCTCACTTGTGACGTGGCGTTCCTCCCCGAGGCTGCCCTGATCGATCGTTTCTTGGCCAGCCTTCCGCTCGAGTACCGCTCCGAGCTATGGCGGTACGAGTTCACATCGGCCTCGCACGCTTACGAGGCCGCCATGGACCACCAGCGGATGCGAGCCCGTCTTCACCCCGCCTCCTCCTCCCAGCCYCAGCGCACGGGCTACGCCTCCTCCTCCTCTCACGGCACTTCCCAGCGCCGTTCCCCTTTCCACGGTCACCCCCGCCGTTCCACGCAGCAGGGCCACCACTTCTCGCGCCGCTTCAACGCGCTCGAGTATGGTGAGCAGGACGCTGGTGCCCCGCTGTCACCAGAGGGTGACCATAGCGCCGACCTCGACCTCGACGAGGCCGTCCACCACCACCTGGAGGACCCTACTCTCCCTATGGCTGAGCACCTCCAGCTCATCCTTTCCACCCTTTCTCGGGCACGCAGCCGCCTCGGTCACGCTGGTGCGTCACCCCCCGAGGTCCCTCAGGAGGACCTCCCTCAATGCTTCGTCCCTCCTCGCGGTGTCCTTTCCGCTGAGGAGTGCGTGGCTATTCTGGGCCGGCGTGGGTGTTTGCGATGCCGTTTGGACGGTCATACCTCCTCGCGGTGCCCTTACACTACCGCCCTCGACCGCCACTACGCTGACCTTTCCCACCAGCGTCGTGCGTCATCCCCCCCCGACGCCTCTCATCCCCGCGACGCCTCCTAGCCACGGTGCAGGGTACACCTGCGCCCTCCTCAGTAGTGGGTTTTCCGACCTCTCCGTCACGGTTCGCCCCTCTCGCGACTGGAGTTGAGGTATCGCAGGACTCGATAGAGTGTACTCAGCCCTCTGTCGTAGTACCGTCTGCGCCTCCGCAGACCACCGTCTCCCCTCCTTCCCCGCCGCGACTACCAACGCGTCGAGCCATTCGCTCAGCCCGTTGCAGCGAGCAGCTTGCTACTCGCGAGGACGTTGTGCCCTCTCTTCTGGACTTGAGCATGCTCCAAGCTCGTCAGGAGCGACTCACCCTCCATGTCGCTGCACTGCGTCGCCTTCTCGCCATCCTCTTTGACCCTGATCGCATCCTCCCGATCATCCCAGTACGACTCGGGACCTCCACGAGGGTGTACTCAGCGCTGTGGGACTCCGGTTCTCAGGGCGACTTCATTCACCCACGCGTGGTGAAAGAAGCCCGCTTACCCACGACAGAGTCTCCGACTCCCATCTCCGTTACCTTAGGGGATGACAAGACCCAACGCTTCTTCGATCAGACGGTCACTGACCTCCCTTTCTTCCTCACTCTCGAGCCGACTGATCGTTCCCCAACGTCTCGTCGCCACCGCTCCTCTGCACATTTCGATGTGATGGAGACGGGGTACGACTTCATTCTCGGCACTCCGTGGTCTTGCCGGTTCCGCAGCACCGAGGCCGATTGGGCGACCAACACTCTCGTTCTCAAAACGAAGTGTGGACAGACATATCGCGTACCTTTCATAGGTACCACCGCGACACCACGCCCCGATCCTCCTCCCCCGGAGCCTTTCGTGCCCACACGATCTCCTTCTATCACTGTCACCTCGCCTCGGCAGTTCGCTCACTTCATCCGACAGGACGACGTCACCTTCTTTATGGTGAACGTGACGGATCTCTTACACTATGACCCACCCTGTCCCGACGCTGAGCTCATCCCTCTGGAGCCAGACCCTCCTTCCATCTTCATAGCTCCCATCTCTACTTCCGTTCCTCCGCCGTCCGTCGAGTTCACCCCGCCGTCGCGCGCTGACGCTGACGCTGAGGAACTTGCACGATATACGGCCGACTTAGAGCCCGCAGTTCGTGACCTCATCCGAGAGTACCACGACGTTTTCCCATCGTCGTTCTCGTACGCTGGCATCCCACCGATGCGCGACGTTGAGCACTCCATCCAGCTTGTGCCTAACTATCGTGTTCACCACCAGGCGCACCCTACAGACTCTCGATCCCCGAGGCCACCGAACTCAAGCGTCAGCTTGAGGAACTCCTGAGACTGGGTTTCATTAAACCCAGCAACTCCCCGTGGGGTGCACCCGTCCTCTTTGCTCGCAAAGCGGATGGAACTCTCCGTCTCTGCATCAACCATCGCGGCCTCAACCGCTACACGGTTAAGAACAGCTACCCCATGCCTCATTCCGACGAGTTGTTCGACCGCTTAGCAGGCAACCGCTTCTTTACGAAGCTTGATCTTCGTAGCGGTTACCATCAGATCCGCGTCGTTGCAGCCGACCAGCCGAAGACAGCGTTCCGATCGCGCTTTGGCCACTACGAGTTTACGGTGATGTCATTCGGCCTCACCAATGCACCCGCCACCTTCCATAGGGCGATGAACGATATCTTCAGGGACATCCTGGAGCAGTACGTTCTCGTCTACCTCGACGATATCCTGGTCTACAGTCGTACCCTTGAGGAGCACCTCAGACACCTCTGCGACGCCCTTGACCGCTTGCGCAGACATGGCTTCTACGCCAAGTTGAGCAAGTGACGCTTTGCCCAGCACAAAGTGGATTTCTTAGGACACTACGTGTCTGACCAGGGTCTCCACATGGACGACGCGAAGATCACTGTTATTGCGGAGTGGCCCGCTCCCACATCCGCCAAACAGCTTCGCAGCTTCCTAGGCCTGACCAGCTACTATAGTAATTTCATCCGGGGATACACTAGGTATTCCTACGTCCTTACCTCCACCCTCCTTCGGAAGAATCCACCCTGGGCTTGGACATCCCTCCACGAGGACGCCTTCCGCGCCCTCAAGAAGGCGGTGATATGCGCACCGGTTCTTCACCTACCCGATTTTGATCGCCCTTTTATCCTTACCACCGATGCGTCAGACTTTGCTGTAGGAGCAGTGCTTTCTCAGGTCTTCCCCTCCTTTCTTGATTCCTCTCATCCTCGTATCCCTCGCTTCTCACCACCTACCCCTACCACTGCTTCCCGACTGACGCCTACTCGTCTAGCTACTGACGAGCCTTCTATTGACTATTCTCCTACCATCGCCAAGGACGGCACTGTCGAGTCTCGATCAGGTGATTGTCCGATAGCCTTCTACTCTCGTTAGCTCCTGCCCGCCGAGATAAAATACACCGCTGATGAACGTGAGGTTCTCGCCGTAGTTTATGTCGCTCAACACTGGCGTCACTACCTGCACGGGGCACCGTTCACAGTGCGTACGGACAACTCTGTTGTCCAGGCTTTTCTGACAAAACTGAAGCTCACTCCTCGACAGGCTCGCTGGTGGCGCGACCTATTCGAGTTTAGTTTCACCACTGAGCACATCAAGGGTGAAACTAATCGGGTCGCAGATGCCTTATCCCGGCGCCCTAACCATGACCAGGAGCAGATCCAGCTCTCTTCCATCTTGGTCACCACCGTCCACCACTCGGTGATCGACGAGTTTCGCACTCAGTACCGCCACTGCCCCGACTATCGCGACATCCACGCGACCCTTCGGAGTGGCAAGACCGTCCCAAACTACTCTCTCGGGGACAACGGTCTTGTGTACTGGCACGATTCACAGGGCACCAGAGAGCCCCGTATTTGCGTTCCCTCCACTGGACAGCTACGTGTCCGAGCAGTAGCAGAGTTCCATGACCAGGCAGCCGCCGATCATATGGGCTTCCACAAGACGTTGGGTCGTGTGAGCCGCCTGTATGTCTGGCCGAAGCACAAGGACTTTGTGAAGGACTACGTCGCAGAGTGTCCCACCTGTCAGGAGGTGAATAGTGCGAACCACCTACCTTATGGTTTGCTCCAGCCTCTTCCTATCCCTGAGGGTCGTTGGAAGTCCATCTCGATGGACTTTATCGGTCCTCTTCGTCCTCCGACTCCCCGCGGTCATGATGCTATCCTGGTCGTCGTCGACCGCTTCACGAAGCTTGCACGCTTTGTTCCATGCCGCTACGCCATTAGTGCACGTGAGGTTACCGACATCGTGTTTGATCGAGTCGTGCGTGACCACGGCTTACCTCTGAGCATCATATCTGACCGTGAGCCGCGCTTTACTAGCCGATTCTGGCGACGGCTTCACGAGGTATATGGCACTCGGCTCCGCTTCTCCTCATCTTACCATCCTCAGACTGATGGTCAGACCGAGATCACGAATAGGACTCTCGGAGATATTCTCCGAAAGATTGTTCGTGACGACCAGCAGTGGGATCTCCATCTTGCCCACGCGGAGATTTGCCTACAACCACGCCGTCTCGCCAGCCACGGGGATGTCGCCTTACTATTGCGACCTCGGCTATCACCTTCGTGTTCCCGCGGACTTCCTTCAACCGTCACAGATGCACCCCAACACGAGTTGTCCCGCGCTGGATGATTGGGTTGCACACATGACGTCGATCATGAAGACCGCACATGAGCACATAGCCGCTTCCCAGACCCGCATGGCAGCACGTGCGAATCGATCGAGGATAGATCACCCATTCAAAGTCGGTGATGATGTGCTTATCGACGCTCGCCACTTACAGCTCGAAGCGGACATGCTTCGCAAGTTTCGACGTCGCTTCTTTGGCCCATGCCGCATCCTCCAGGCCGTCGGTTCTGATACGGCTTCTAGCCCGGTCAGCTTCCGTGTGAAGCTGCCCGACTACCTACGCCAGGCTCGTGTGCACGATGTCTACCACGTCTCGTTACTGCGTCCTTATCGCAGACCGTCTGAGCGTTTTGTGGACGACCATACGAGCGCCCTCCACCCCTCATGGTGGACGGCCACGAGGAGTTCCTCGTTTCAGATATCATTGGTCGCCGAGTCACCGACGACAACCCTCCCCACATCGAGTATCTCGTACGTTGGAAGGGTTACCCTGATGAGGAGGCCACCTGGGAGCCCCTCGAGCACTTGCAGCACGCTCGCATGTTGGTGCGTGCCTATGACCGTGCTCGTCGTGCTGAGTTCACTGCTCCTCCTCAGCCCACTGACCCTCCTCCTTCTCCCCCGGCAGAGGAGACCACTGAAGTCGAGCCTGCTCCATCTGAGGCAGACCTTCAGCAGCAGCCGGATGCTTTTGAGCGTCCACAGCGCACTCGTCGTCGTCCTGCTCGATATGACGATTGACTCTGACTTACCTTCCCATGTCTTTGACTTCTCATGACTTATCTTCCCACGTCTTTGACTTCTCAGTACTCCATCCACTCCAGTTTTGCTACTTCAGCTCGTCGACATTGCGGCTCTTCCTCGACGGCATTCCCGACTTCTCATTGCGGACGTCATCGGCAGCTTCATGGACTTCGTCACGATAAGATCTGCCTACTTCAGACGTCATCACTCCCTTACCACTTTACCCTGTACAGTACCCTGCTTGTGTCGCATGATGGTCTCCCTTTAGCCGGGTTCCTCTGAGTTGGGCTCTCCCTTAGTATACGCATAGGCATCGGGACCGTAGCGTTGCCCTGGCTTCCCATTTTACGGATCTATCTCCGACTTTCCCACCTTAGGAGTCACCTGCATGATTCCCTTACCCATCATCTTTCTACCCTCTGCCGGCCCTCACGCCCTAGTTAGGCAGCCCCGCATGCTTCATCTAGGTGCGCCCAGTATACCAGGCTCCCTTGTTCCCTTGCATGGTCGACCCTCCATAGCGGTCACCCCTTAGTCGAGCTTTACCCGCCCTGATGGTCTATCTGTTAGGGTCATTGGTTTTGTTCGCTCCCAGTTCCCTACTCATTGAGCCTGATGACATGTGTCTCCCTGTTATCTATGTGTGGATGCCCTTAGGAGTTTCGACCCCTGATTGCGACACACTCCTCCCGTGACATATGGTTGATTTGTTGTTGCCTTGTTGCTCTCAGACTGAGGCTACGGCCTCTGACATTTCTAGGATTTAGTTGTTCTGCTTTTGTTGTTCTTAGAACTTATACACTAGTCAGTTGTTCCCAGAATGAGGCTACTGCCTCCAACACTCTAGGATCTAGTTGTCACTACTTTCTGCTTTCCTAGGACATGTATGCTAGTTAGTTGCTTCTGCTTTCCTAGGACATATATGCTAGTTAGCTGCTTTTGCTTTTACTTAGGCTGTTAGCTGTGACATTGTTGTTTTGTGACATTTTCTAGCCTAGGTTGCATCACATGGACTTAGCATGGAGCTTGCTCCTTATCCTATACTACTCAGGTTTTCTTTTCTTTGGTAGAGTTCCGCTTCTTGGCGGAAGCGTGTTTGTATCTATGCGATCCATCACAGGCTGAGGATCGTGTAGCGGACCTCTGGTTGGTTGGCCTGTGAGACCAGCCCCTTGGCCTGTTCTCACAGGCCTGTGTTCTATTTGGGGGCAGTCTAGTCCAGTCCAGGCCAGTACCTCTGTCGGTACCAGCCAGTCCAGTCCAGTCCCGTCAGTCCGCTGGGGTATACTCCAGCCTGTGTCTGTTTTCGAGCTCATTCTACACTTGCACGGTTTGGAGTACGTGCGTTGGAGTCTTGCGTGGGAGCTGTGCTGTGCCATCTCGCTCCTCCCTCATCCTCCATCTCCATCACTATCCCAGGTGGAGCACCTTCCCGGTGGGTCCGCTACACTCTCTCTCTTTCTCTCTCTCTCTCTCTCTCTCTCTCTCTCTCTCTCTCTCTCTCTCTCTCTTCGAGAAACGAAACGGGAATGCATGTTAGCGGGAAGATGCATTCCCGTTTCGTTTTTCAAAACGATAGCGGGAAGATGAACCCATTCGTTTTTCTTATTTCTTTGTTTTTTTTTTGTTTTTTTTTCCCGTTTTTGTTGTGTACCTTTTGCACGTTCGGATCGTTTTTCTTATTTCTTTGTTTTTTTTTGTTTCTTTTGCCCGTTTTTTCCGTTGTGTACGTTGCACGTTTGGGATGGCTGCGCCTGGTAGTCCGAGCCTCGGCATGGATCGGCGTACCGGTCGGCCGAGGCTCGGACTCGATAGCTGGGCCAGGTACTGGTGGCTTAATTGTTAGAGATAGCTATGCTTGCAGGGGTCCCCTGTAGAGGCTTAGGAGTAGTGGTAGGTAGATGCTGAAAGGTGAAATTGACGGTAAGAAAATGAGAAAAAAAGAAAAACAAAGACCCTTATTACAGGTGGTGATCCTAAGTGCACCGAAGTTGCCACTACCTAGAAAATTCGGGAATGCCTTGAACTTTTGCTTCTTTCAGTCTGCCGGCACGAAGTGTGGCGTCGGAGTTTCCATGGTACATAGTACATGAAAATGGGCCTTGACTCCGGGCAGAAAAGTTTGCCAGGGTCGGTCGTACATATGATTACGTATGATTAGAATGATTAGTCGGACCGAGACGAATGTTTTAGGACTTAGTCGGACCGAGACGAATGTTTTAGGACATTCCAAGTCCAAGGCATTCCGACGGTTTGACTTGCGTCGGAGGATTAGCGGGACCGAATCTGGGCTTCACCTGTGCATCGGGCCGTATTCTGGCAGGAAGTTCATTCTCATTTTTGCACATTTCGTGAGGGGTGTGACGATGACCTATTTGGGAAATTCCGGCACCTTGCGTTCCTCGGTTGGAATGAAAAGGAAGCCTACGGTCATTTGCGTGTGACCCGAGGGAGCCTTGAAATTCTCACCACCATTCGTGTCTTGTCGTCGCTACCGCAGCAGTCTAACTGGGGAGATTCGGTGCGACCGTGTTATATACGTTTGTTGTCCTCTTCTCTCTCTCTGCCTACGGTTTACCGGGCAGTTCTGTTTATGACGATATATATATGTACTAAGTTTTCTACAGTGCAGTTCAGCCACGAGCCAGGTAGGATGGCGACAATCTTTGGCCATGATCTCCTGATCATCAGGTGTCAGTTTTAAGGCCTGTTCATCCACGTGGCGATCGTGCCAGTTCGTCCACGTGGCGATCGTGCCATCGTGCCATCGTGCCAGTTCGTCCACGTGTCAATCGTCACCATCGCCAAATTTCTCGTCGGCATCGTGCATGTGATCGACGTGGCCATCCTTGGTATAGCCATGCTCTTGGGCCTGGCCACACCACTCCCGACTTGCGAAAATTATCGGGAGTGCTCCCGGAAGTGAAAACCCGCTCGGGAGTGCCTTTAGCCACACTACACGCTCGACCCGGCCGCACTCAAAGTCTGAAAATGTCATTTGACACATGTGGACACGATCAGTGTGAAGCAGTCTGGCAGAAGTCGTTTGCCGCTTCCAGCTCCACTCCCCAATCTGGGATGAAACTCGGAGGAGCGAAGGAGAGAGGTCTCTCGAAAAGGCAGCTTTGTAGGCGGTGAGTTCGGGAGTGGGAGTGCTCTCGGTAGCCACGCCACATTCTGATAGCTCACGAAGTCAATCTGACAGGTTGAACTCGGGAGCGGGTGGGGCGATGCTGCACTCCCGAAAATGGCCAAGTCGGGAGTAGTGTGGCGAGGCCCCTTGTCCGGATCGAGCGCGCCATCTCTGAACTGTGGAGAGGTGAGAGCAGCCTCCGGGCGTCTTCCGTTGCACCACTCACCAGATGTGAAAAATGGCCAGTACATTTTTATTTTCTCGAAATAAGAGAAATGACAAAAAATGGTAATCGTATAATTCCGGTTTTCGCCACTTATCACACTTGGAGCGGTCCAGGGAGGCCCACACAGATACATACATACATACATACATACATACATAGACCCGGGCATTATATGGCACTCATTCGTGCAGCTGCCCAGTGGGAACTGTGGGATGGTGGGACGATGAGTCAGGTCATTTTCGACGTGAATGAATTTTTGCGAGCGTTGTCGAATCATACTTTATTCTGGATTATTGACCGACTCTCGTGTGACGCCTGTCGGGACCGAGATGCGGTGCGCCTTGGCTGTGGAATGCATCATCTATGCCATAGCCATTATCAATCTATTGCGACTGCCGCCGTCTGTCCTGAAAGGTGTCCAACATTTCCTCATTGTACACATCCCTATCACCCAGATATACGTTGTCCCTATTGTGTCCAAGGACGCTATCAGAATTGTATGATGCCGCACTGTGATGAATGTCCTGCCGTGTTTTTGACATGTGGACAACACGTCCTCTGTCAGGACTGTTTTGATGGGATGGTTCGTGCTAGCCGTCCTGCAGAATGTTGTGCTGGCGCAGCTCTCCTTGGGCATCCTTGTGAACATCCACATCATCCTCACCGTAGCTGTCCTATCTGCCGAGGTGGGGGCAGGTAAAGAAAAAAAGAAGAAAAGAAAAAGAGAAAAAAAGAAAAAAGAAAGAAAAAAAGAAAAAAAGAAAAAAGATGCGTTGATCTGTGGGATGTGTTATTTGCTTTGTGATAATTGGATTATCTTTCTTTCCCTAGCTTTCTTTCCCTGTCAGGTTTGGTTTCCTCCTCCCCTTCTTTACCTCTTTGCCTTTTGGCTGCGTGCAAGTGGGTCCTTGTGACACACGGGGATGGGGGCAGCCAGCGCTCAACCTGTCATCCACGTGGCTGGCCTTGT